CTGGCCTGCGGGGCGAGGTGGGGGGTGAGCAGGGGCAGAGAAGCGGGAGGAAGGCGCGGTCAGCGGGGCTGCTGTGCCCTCATCCCTTGGAGAGCAAATGGGACAAAATCCAAGAAGGGGAGGGCTTCCTGGCCTTTGGGAAAGGGCGCGGGGAGGGGCCGGGCTTTTGCAAGGCCCGGCCAGGACCGGGGCTCCCCACGCAGGCAGCTGGGGGCCTTGTCCCTGCAGAGCTGACGCTGGCCACAAATTTCTCGTTGGGGTTTGAGCCAGGGGGCTGGGAGCAGAGTGAAGGGCTCACCCTAGGTCCTTCTGGCCTCCCAGCTCCATGGCCAGGGGGAAAGCCCAGAGGCGTGTCCAGCCTGGCCAGTTCTCCCAGCCTGTGTGCCCGGGTCATCAACTCCCATATACCCTTCCCTGGCTCAGGGGTCTGAGTGAGGCCTCTCCTTACAGGGTAGAAGGGCTGGGGGGGCTACCAAGAGGGCCAGGGTCCCCAGGGATGGCCGCAGGTGTAGCCCTGAAGGGCAGGCTTGACTCTGACGGCCTCGGTGAGACGGAGGAAGCAGAGCTCTACCAGGAGAAGGACCACAGCCACCTCTGCTGACCCTGACTTTCAGGAATCCATGTGGGCCAGGGCCCGTGGCAAAGGCCGCTTCGGAGGAGGGGGGCCAGTGGCCCAGGCACCCGCACTGAGGCCCGGGGTGGTCAGGGCCGTGGACACTGCTTTTCAAGAGGGGAAGAAGCCTAATCCTCCAAAAGTAGGAAACCAGCTCCTCAAATTTCCTGCCACCGTGAGACCCAGGAAAATCGCTCTATCGCTCTCCTGGGGGGTGGCCTCTCAGCCCCGACTCCCACAGACTCTGCTGGGCACGGGGGCTGAGCCCAGAGCCTCTGCACCCCACACCTGGCCCAGAGCCGGCACGGAGCAAGTGGGAAAGTGGGGGATGGACAGACGGATGATGGATGGACAGGCAGACAGACGCCTGGTGAGGTTTCCCCAAGGAGAGGAGCCTGGCGGCTATGCTACCTGGATTGGCCAGGCCAGCGGGGCAGGCTCTGCAGCCGTGCTTACAGGCATGCCTGCTCGAATGAGAGGCTGGGAGGCTTTTCACTGACATGGCAGAGAGGAAATGGGTCAAATCCACCAATGAAATCAACTGAAAGGAACCAAGACCCAAATAATACAAACCCAAACAATGGACAGGACGGCAGAGTGGAGAATGTTCCCAAGTGCAAACACTCAGGAGGACGCAGAGGTGGGAGGGGCCGCGGGCTGCCCAGACTGGAGAGCAGAGGGTGAATTCCCACTGGGTGCAAAGCTTCAAAGGATGCTGGCGCTCTCAGCGGGGGGCTGCCCCGTGCCCTGCTGGGCTGTCCCAATCACAGTGCCTCAAAGCTGTGTCTGCACAGCACATGGGCGGCCGGAGCTTGCTGGGCAAAGCTAACACGTTTCTGAACCCCAGG